ATTTTTATTTTAAACTACTATGTAAATAACTAACTACTAACGGCTAATATCTAACGACAGCAGTTAACATCTACTAGAAAAACGTTGAAATTGCCCAACAAAGCCGTAATGTGGGGAATGAACATGATCTTTGTTTATAGCAAAGAAATATATGGGTACTGTGGGTCATGATTTTACGAGTAATATTTTCTAATATTTTCTATTTTCTAATTAAAAATTAGCTTTTCAGTTTGTCTATTTTTTAACAATTGCAAACCCGTAACAAAGCTAGATATATGCCTCTTTTTCTTTTTCAAAAAATAAATTCATCAATTAACAATTTTTCCAAATTATATCTACATATTTTAATAGAAAAGTTTTTTTTTTATAAATTAATTTATATTTATTTTATAAATTTAAAATAAATTTATAATGAATACTATTATCTATTATCCTATCTATTTTTCAAAATTATAATGGAAAATAAAATTTAATAAGATAATTATGACTTTCTTTCTTTGTTTTTTTTTTTTTTCAACTACATCTCCTTATTAATTTTTTCCCTGACTATACATTTTAATTGGATAACTTTTTTTTTTTTTCAAATTTATTTTAAGATAACATAAGAACTAATCTATATATATGCCTCTTTAAAACTATTACAAATTGTCACGACCCGTTTCCATAAGCCAGACCGACACTAGGGTCTAGGTAAGTTTAAAGCTCCCGAGATCCGTAATAAGCCTGAACTACTAAAATTTAACCATATAAATATGAATTTCAAACATTCGATCTATATTGCCATGCACAATAAATCTCATAATTGTATATTTCAAACATTCGATCTATATTGCCATGCACAATAAATCTCATAATTGTATTATATTTTGGCCCAAATGTAACATCTTAAACATTTTATAGATTGGACCCAATCTAAATACAAAACATTCTTAATGTGGGTTTATATATTCATACATTGACAAAATAAATAAATAAATAAATATCCTCATTAGTTTATTGGTTACAATCCTATAACTGCGGAGTTCTCTAACAGATAAGTATAAATAAGTTTTAGTACATATAGCTACATAATTAAATAACTGCTAATTCTAAAAGTTAATTTCCTAACTCTGCGGGGAAGGAGATAGAGCTCTAACCAGGCAAAAGAATCTACTTCCTAGAAGAATTTAAACAAAAGAAATGTGAGCTTAACAATGAATAATAATTAATGCACAACACAAGCATTCACACAAAATGCTTTGTGAAGTACTAAAATGAGCACTTTTCCAATCAAACAAATGGCACATCATAAGCACCAACAAATAATCACACCTTCAAGTAATCAAACACGTGGTGATTGGTCAGTGGCGTCATCGGAACCCTTGATGAGCCGTCCTCACACATGACCCATCCTCTCATGACGTGTGCATCAGGGAGCCGATCCCCGATAATTGGCCGACAAGTCTAATCCTCACTTGACCAGCCCTCTCATTTCATTTCACTCATTCATTCATTTTTTTTATACTCTCTTTTCTTTTCCATACCATCAGGAGACCACCTGTGGTTTTCCATATAATCTATATCATCAGGTGCACATGGAGCGCCGATTTCCCCATGCATGGCAGACGGTCGAATTGCATATTTTCATCATTTTCAGAACCGTCCTCGCAAACTCATGGTGACCCACTTCATCCCAATTCCACACAAACAAGGAACATTATTATTAGAACACATGTAATCAAGTAGTGCAAATATATTCAAGTACATCAAACACTTAAATATCATAATGCAAGTGCACAATTAGACATTCACATATAGGTAGTAATAAATATGTAGAAGCAAATGCTATAATATAATAATTAATATTTGAAAAATAAATAAACAAGTAAATAAATAAATAAACAAATAAAGACGAAGCGTTGCATAGTAATGAGTTTGTGTATGATGCATACTACCTATTATTACTTACATTGCTAAATAGGGAAAACACCCTAATTTCGGGTCCTAACTCTTTGAAGCAGTGAACAACTACAATGATCTAAACGAAATGGCATTCGAAGAAGAGGAGAAATTGAATTGAATTAAGTACTCTATCTTAAAATGATCTAAACGAAATGGCATTCGAAGAAGAGGAGAAATTGAATTGAATTAAGTACTCTATCTTAAATATATTAGGTTAAAACATTATTCCAAATAAGCCTATTAACTTAACCATTAAATATATCTAGCGTAGATTCTAGCGAAATTTCGGCAGAACTTCCTCTAAAATTTGGATTAAACCACCTGCTTAAGACTATAATTCAACAATAGATTCTCAAAGCCCATCCATCGGGCAATTCACAATAATTAATCTCGTCCGCTATAACCAAATTTCATTCATCTAAACATTTACTCAATTCACACAGTCCATCCGTCGGGCAATCAATCAAATCAACCCATCCGCCTTAAACAACATTTATCAATCACCACACACACATATATGCACTTAATAATTCTAAATCCTAAACCAAATAATTAATCGCAATTGGCTACCATAAATACCATAAACTAATCAAAATTAATTTATTTATAAAAGTCTAAAATATTCTCTTCATATATAAAGCTACTCAAATAATATAATTTCTTTTTATTTAATTAAATCTACTTAAATATTCAACTGATCTACATAAAGGCTAAAATATTCTAAATTATTTTCAAAATTAATTATATTTATCTATTTATTCGAAATCAAATTAAGCAACTAAAAATTTGAAATTGGAATTTATACCGAAAAATTTGGAACTGGGTCTTAGAGCGTACTAATAAAAAATCGGACTATGATGCCACGATCCGCACGAGGACGAGGTGATTCTGCCTCTTAGGGTTGCACCGGAGATTCGCCGGCCGATCATAGAACCGCCGCCGCTACCTTCTACGATGGCTGGAAAACCGTGGTTGCACGGAATCGAGCGCTCTTCACACCATCTGGCTCGATTTTCACTCAGGAGTCCGTTTTTGGCGTTAGTTGCCCAAGATCAGTCCTCTCGCCGCCGCTCCTGTGGTTTCGTCATCTGAGCTTTGTTGCCGAAATTGATGGAGGAGAAACGATCGCGTGTGGAGGAGATGAAGCAATTGGCACCCCCCCCCCCTTCACGTTGCAACCGCCGGAAACGGCGTAGATCACTAGAAGTTGATGAACAAGAGTTATCAAAGAAAATAGCCCCGATTCGCGTCAATGGAGGCTCTTTCCGAGAGAGAGAAGACCAGAAACGTGACCAGCAGCACAAGATGACCCGATCACCACCTCGCTCTCGTCAAGTGGTGGCCGAAAGCAAGGAGGGAGGGGAATGACGCGCTGCCGACCAAGGAAGAAGAAGAAGAGAAAGGAGAAAAAAAAAAGAAGAGAAAAGGCTGGTTTCTAGACTATTCTGTTTCGATTCAAACCAGTTTGATCCAATTCAGTGATTTAACTCAATTTTTCTTGGTTTACGGATTTTTCACTTGATTTTCAAAAAATTCAAACTGGTTTATAGGTCTGGTTTAGCAGTAATAAAATATTTTCTGCTGAATTTTGTTAGAATGAAAATTTAGTTTTTAAATGAAAATTCTATGAAATTAAATTTTCAGGTCGTTTCATAAATGATGTTATAGTTGTCTTTATTACAAATAGGCGTAGGTGATGACTTAATCCAATAGAGTCAGAACACCTTTCTATATAAATGGTGCTCGATGAAACGATCTAGATTATTATTTTGATATTTACCATTACTGATTTATTTCAAATAGAGTTTTTATTATTGTTCTAAACATTTGATAATTCATTATAGTTTATTAAAGACAATGATTGCAATAATTATTAAAATAATATTTAAAATAATAATTATTAAAATAATATTTAAATACCCGCGCGTGAAGTACAATTTTTTTCGACCAGCTATAAATATACTTAATATAGATCTTAATATTTTTTATTAAGTCAAAATAAAATTTATGGTTTTTATTTTTAAAATAAAAAATGAAAAATATTTTTAATGTTAAATGGGTTCGGATAATAAAAATAAAATTTTAAACGAGTTTGAATCCCTAATTTATAATTGAGTTTAGATAATGTATTTTAAGTGAATAAATTAAACAAAGACCAAATTAATGGTTAGGAGATTAGTGAAATAATAAATAATGAACATAAAAATAATAGGCTTGAATATAAATTGTTGAAATTTTAAGTGCATAAATATAACAGTAAATTAAATAAGTTAGATTTCAAGATTTGGATTTAAAAATTTGATGTTCCTCATCAAACAAATACCACCATCACAATCCATTTCTCCATTATTGTTATTGTTTATAAGAGCCAAACAGGGGCGAACGTTCTCCGAATAAAATTGTTCTCTGAATGTCTTTGATGGAGGAATTGCATTATTTTGACGGCTTGGTGTTGAGGTGCATCATTTTGGACGGTGCATTTTTTGAACTGCTTTCACAAAGAAAGTGCGTTCTTTAAATAAAGCGTATTCTTTGAACGACTTGAATTGAAGTAAACGGTATTTTGGACTGTTTGATCGCTGAGTGTTTACTAACCTCATTATTGGAGTTTTCTTTTTTGTTTTTTTTTTTTTTTTTTTTTTTTTTTTTTTTGATCGCTAGTGTTTACTAACCTCATTATTGGTGACGTTTTTTTTTTTTTTTTTTTTTTTTGAGTTGGAGACGTGTTTTTTTTTTTTTTTTTTTTTTTTTTTTTTTTTTTTTTTGAGTTGGAGACGTTGACCTTAAGAGAAGCTAATTCGTTAACAAAAAGGAAAGGTTGATATTGAGAAAGTAATCATTAAGGGAAAAAAAAAATACAAAGGATGGATTATGTTAGGCCAATGATATGTAATTTAACTTGTACTAATAAGCATTTCATCATTATTAGCCATAAATAAATTTGTGACAGAGATCAAATGTGAAAAATTAGGAGAAAAAATCTAAATCTAAATATTTATAAAGAGTAACTATCTGCTATACTCGAGTATATCTTAACAAAAATCCACCGTCACTCCAATTGGCAGGATACAGATGCAGAAACAAGAGAGATATCCACGTAATATACGCGGAGAGAGAGAGAGAGAAAGAGAGAGAGAGAGAGAGAGACAAAAGTGTCCCTAATTCGTTGGACACAGTCTCTGCATCTCTCTCTTGCTTGCTAACCTAAAGGCCAAAGGTTACTCTCTCCTTCTATCTCTCTCTCCGAGTTTGATCTTATATATGACGTTGCTGTTTTATATCTATAATTTTTGATTTTGTTTCTGCAGAGAGGGAATTTGATTTGTGGGTTAATTGAATTGATTTGGGAGAGAAACGATGGCCGCACAACCAACAAGGGCGCGTGCTGATTACGATTACTTGATTAAGCTTCTTTTGATTGGGGATAGCGGTTAGCAAGCTTCTCATTTCTCATTATTTCTCCATATTCAATCTGGGTTTCGTTTATTGCTTTTTGGGTTCGATTTATATTCTGGGTAGAGAGAGACGATTTGGGTTATTGATTTAGTATGTGATGCAGTGATTTTTAGGGGTTCTTTTGTGTCTTCAGGAAATGGATTCTGGTTACCTTTTGTTTTATCCTTGTTGGATGCCACATTTTCGAGCTTCTCTTAAATGGGCAGGTGTTGCTGTTTGGGATTTCTTTTTATATAAGGGTTGATGATTTATGTCGTTTATTCTTGTTGTTTTGCTTGGAAAATTAATTTTCTTTATTGTTGAACGCTATTTACATGGAATGCCAATATTGTTCCCATGCAAGTTGATCACAGTATCGACGTGTCAGTTTAATTGGATCTCTTATGGATATATTTATGCATCTGGGAGTTATACCAAGTTTTATTTTCTGTATAAAATTCTGATTGTATTTGAGTTTAATAGGCTATTCTAGTTTTGAACAGATTGATGTTGAGCTGCGGGTGGTTTGTTTAAATATGAATTGGCAAATGTGTTGATTGACCAAACATTTTTCGACTTTGTATATTTCCTTAGTTGTGTAGTTAATATAGGTATACTTCCATTACATTGTAATATATTTGCACTAGAAACCTGAGTCTTATTTTTTGTTTTTTTTATTTTTAGTTTTTTGGGAAGTGATTTTCCAATCTGTGTATTACTGTTTTATCAGGCAAAGATGCTTGTGTTAATCTGAGACAACTAATGTCTGTATGATGTGTTATTTGATCAGGCCATGAAGTTTCTGCAATTTTTTCCATGAAAAATTACTCCTTCTTTCTTGAAAAATTCATTTTCTTATTTGCTCAGAGCTGGACTCTAATTGATTAATTGCTGGGTTGAATGTTAGGCTGGTTGAGCTTGCTTCCAAATTTTACTTTATCTGGACTTTGCACATTCATGTGAATTGAGCCAAAATGATCCTGGATAAATCGATGGATTAAAGTTTGAGTTTTTGGATCAGAACAAATTATCCAAGCTGGACTGTGTACTTGTCGTTCAGAGTATGCAAATTAGTAACATTTTAATTTGATCCCGGCTCAGCCTACTAATTTATGTAACCGAAAGTAGAATGGTGTTTGCCTGCCTGGGTCAATTAGGTAGGATTTGACCATTGATGTAGAAGAAGCTTGCAAATTAAAATTGTGCCTGTTATTCGTGCAGCCAATCATGTGAGGCTTTGGGTAGAAGAATAAGAAGAATGAGTTCTCATGTTTAAGTTTTGCTCGTAAAGAAAACAAAGAAGCAACTGACTTGCTAGTGACTGAGAATTTGGAATTGGAGATTGAATACAATATATTAGACAGTAGACTGGTTACGATGGAGTAGCTTGTGAGGAAAATATGTTTAGATTTTCGAGAGAGAACAATTTTACCCTGGCCTGAGTGACTGAGAATCTCTGCGCCAGTCTGGAGTTTAGAACTATATACTTATATTATAATTTTTAACTAACATAAATGTACAAAAAGTTTTTTTATAGTTTATTACTTTATATTACTCTTTCTGTCTCAAATATTAACTAGTAGGATCTGAAGTATACCATACATGTACACAAACAAAATAAATTTAATAATAATACTCAAAATTTGACACTTATAGTAGTTTATAAATGATTAAAACAAAAAGCTGGGATTCCCATATACGTTCTTCCCTTTAAATTTAATAGGGTGAAATGGCGATAAGAAAATCCACCCATCCCATTACCATCTTAATTTCATTATATATGGAGAACTTGAAAAGCTTTTGATGTATGGCGCGGTAGTTCATTCTTCTTTATTTAAGATTGTAAACTTCCTGCTTTGCTAGCATACTGGTAACAACATGTGTTCTACTTTATTGTTAAATGGCCTTCCTTCATCTCTGAATGGCACAAACCGAATTTTATGCTTTCTACTCTATTGTAGACCTGCAAGAAGGTTCATGATTTTTGCATTCTTAACTTCTCATTGCCCATTCCATCCCTCTTTTTCTGATCGTAGAATTTTTGATGAATGTGTTAAGACTGATCATTTTGTTACTCTAGTCTTGGTTATGAGATGATTTGTTTATTGGCTCTCAAGTGTTATTTGACACAGTTTTCTTTTAAATTTTCAGGTGTCGGGAAGAGTTGTCTGCTTCTGCGCTTCTCTGATGGTTCTTTTACAACCAGTTTCATTACCACTATTGGGTTGATATCTTTGTGACTTTTGCTATCCTTATTTTCTGAACTTAGCATCATTTGCAAACTGAAAAATTGAGAAGTATGTTTGTGATATATCGTAGAACATGAATATTGAGAAGTAGGTTAATGATAGTTTGCAGTAGGTTCTGTTTGTGTGATTTAAAGGTCAAGATTTGGGCAATATGCAATTAGAATTTGCCATTTAATTTCCACTTGCCATTGAGATTTTAGGTGCTGTTAGAAGCTTTTCTAGAGATGCAATCAATTAAGTTCTGAAATCAGATAGTTCTCCAGCTATATCTTGTAATTGTTCTGCATAATTTAACTGAGGGTCTGGAATGTGGCTGATTGTATATATTGGATATCTATGATAATTTATTATTATTATTTGAAATTCTACTTTTACTTCTCTAAACAGCATTGACTTTAAAATAAGAACTATTGAGCTTGACGGAAAACGTATTAAATTGCAAATCTGGGACACGGCAGGTCAAGAGCGCTTTCGCACTATCACAACAGGTTTGTATTTAGCACTCTACCTATTGGTATGTTGTTTTCGATACTTATGAGTGACGTTGTTTTTGTGTTTGAAAGTTTCAAATATATATATATATATATATAATGGTGGTGGTGATTAGAATGCTGCATAACCAAGTTGTTTGATTGAGCCTCACGACTGCAGTATAAATATAAAGTCATCTGGCTATTGAACCTAGTAAATGGGGATGAGATTGAAATGCAAGACTTTCTAAATGCTGTAGGAAATACGTACAAGGAAAAAAAAAAGAGCAAATAATAATAAATGCTCTTACCATCTTTGACAAATTTCTAAAATTTGCTTATTGACTTTATGTTCTTTTGCAGCCTATTACCGTGGAGCCATGGGGATTTTGTTGGTGTATGATGTTACTGATGAATCTTCTTTTAACAGTAAATTCTCCTTTTCTAATTCCCTGTGCATTTAAATTTGTGGAGATTTGTTAAACATGCTAATGCTATTTGATTAGATTTGGTGCTTTATCACCTTTTCTACTTCCTGAGCATTTTCCTTTTGGTTATTGATAAATGGTTACCAGTGAAATATGTGTTTCATTTGATTGTCACTCCTTATGTTGCTTGTCCTATATCCTGTAACACTTTCTTCAATATCTGTACGTCTGTCTCTTGAATGCTTATGGATCTAGCTTCTCTTCATGTTCAGATATAAGAAACTGGATTCGCAACATTGAACAACATGCTTCTGACAACGTCAATAAGATACTGGTAGGAAACAAGGCAGACATGGATGAAAGTAAAAGGGTGAGTATTGAATTTTGTGACTTGGAGGACATGCTCCTCTTGTTACTGGATAGGTTGGACTGTTCATCAATAAAACATCATCATCTACTTTTCTGTAACATAAGCTCCTTAGCAGGCTTTTTATGTGGAAGCAAAGTTGTTTACACCCAAAAATTGTGTGATTAGATAGAAGAGTTTTAGGATGATCTATAACTGCTATGCCTTAAAAGTTGGGTTTTCTGACTCATGTCTCAATTTGATTCCTCTCACTCTCTCTCTCTCTCTCTTCATATTTGTGTCTGTTTTGTGTGCCATCCACTAATAATCGCAAAGATACTCTTTGTCATTTCCTTAGGCTGTGCCTACCTCCAAGGGTCAAGCTCTTGCTGATGAGTATGGTATCAAATTTTTTGAAACTGTAAGTATTAACTGTATGCTGCAATTGGTTCTTTAGAACTTCATCTACTTCTCTCTTTATATTAAAAGTCCATGTTCTGCAGAGTGCAAAGACAAACTTGAACGTCGAGGAAGTTTTCTTTTCAATTGCAAGGGACATCAAGCAAAGGCTTGCAGAAACTGATTCTAAGTCTGAGGTGATTTTTATTTTTTTCATCTTATACCATACTATTTCTTCTGTTTTTTCTCCAGTTTGACAATTTAGATTTAGACCATTTGCCAAAGGCTCTTTTATTATGTTTCTCTTTCTTTTTGCTAATTTAATATATTTATTTACAAATGTGATGTAATTCTCCATTTTTTGTGGTACCAGCCTCAAACAATCAAGATTAACCAACCAGACCAGGGAGCTGGTGGTGGCGAAGCAGCGCAGAAGTCAGCGTGCTGTGGTTCATAAAGCAGATTTTAAAGTACAGACTGAGGGGGAAGTTTATGCCCGCGGCACCTGTTGGGGTGTAAAATTGATTATGATGACATTATGCTGGGCCCAGATATCTGTGCCCTTGTTATTTTCCCAATTACCAACCTTAGCATGTTTAAGGCAGTATTTTTTTTCGCTTACTTTGTGGAATTTATGATATGACACCCTTTTTCGCGTTCTTTCCTTTGTTGGGGCTTGAACTCACTGGCTAGTCTTGATGTAGATAAGATAATCCATATTTAGCTGATTTCACCTGATAAAATGTCTAGGGTTGTTTCTGGCCTTTCTCTTTCTTTCTATTTTCCCTCCCTCTTTAAATATTGCATTTTTTTTTTTTTATTTTGTTAATGTGCATTTAGATGTCAATATTTTGATGTTTGTGTTGTGTTATAGTTCATTGTCCTGTAACTGCCTGTGGTTGGGAAATTGTTTATGAGTCTTCATCATTGGGGTTTGAAATTGTTGTTTTTAGAAATATAATTAAATTGTCATGAAGATTCAAAGTATGAATATTTTGCATGTTTCTTTCTGCAAAATAATTTTAACCTCTCCGTTTCAGAATGTAAACGAAGGATTTATTTGGTAGCTGTTAGTTGTTTAATTAGTATTTCATTAAATATTGTGTAATTTGTTTTCTCAAATTCTAAATATTAGTGAAAATATTATGTTACCAAACAATATAAATAACAAATTAGTCAAAGCAACATGGCAAGGAAATTTTGATGCAAAAGTTAGTTTAAGGTAAAAAATTTTTTTGCACTCTCATTATGATAACATTAGTCAGGGTATTTGTAAGGTCCAATCGTATCAAATCTGTTATCATAGCTGATTCAAGAACAATAAATGCATTAATATTGAAAATCTTTATTTACCAAAAAACAAAATGTTGAAAATATTATGTGTCAGGAATCTCTCGCTAAAGCATATGCGATTTTCTGTTCAATTGACCCTTTCAGAAGAGAATTCCAATTTGATATTCGTTTCTAGCTTTGCAATGAAAATTCAACATGATACGATACTGTCATTGGGGAAGAGGCAATGTTTAACGGCTTACGAGAGTGGTCATCCCTGTAAGATGGGGCCTCAGCAGAATGGGGGTAAAGGCGACTGATTTGGTTTTATTAGATTTTCAAAAAAAAAAAAAAAAAAAAAAAAAGATTTTCAAAACCCAAAAAAAAAAAAAAAAAAAAAAAACCTTCAAGTTTCTTTAAGCCAAAAAAAAAAAAAAAAAAAAAAAACCTTCAAGTTTCCTTTAGCCATCAAATTAAAAATTCATAGTTTAATATATTTGTATGAAATCAAAGGGTAAGTACGGTCCAATATTGTTAAAATAAAAATATGAATGATTAAGAGTTATTATAAAAGAAAAGGAAGTACCCATTACATTACATTATTGAAGAGAATCAGAATATGGCAATAGCCCAAACTATGGCTTTGCCATCTGGCGATTCTGATTCTTTCTCCATCCATTGTGCTCAACATGCAAAGCCTCTCTATGGACAACAATAAAAGATGAAACAGCTAATAGAATAAGAGAATACGTCTTAAACTTTTAGTACCATTTATTTTGCTTATTTTGCTAATAGAATAAGATGAAACAACTAATTTTAATTTAATTTCTTATTTTTCTTTATTTTTTCAAGAATTAATTACACATGTCAGTAGGCTATTATTCTATACAAAAAAGTGAAAATATAAATTTGATGAATAAATAAAGTACATTATTATTATTTTTTTTTGGAGGAGGCTGTAATTAGCACATAAGATCCAATGATTTATAATTGAGAATTTCAATTCATAATCTTGTTAAAAGAACAATTCATAATATTTGAGTTTAAATATATATTTTCTAATATTCAATTCCATTATTCGAAATAGCCTAATGAATAAATGTTATTTCATTAAAGTTATCAATAAAATTAGAATTTTGAATTATTTCACATTTATTTTGATTTTGATTTGTTATATGAAATATATAAAAAAAAAAACCATTATAACTTTTTGACTTGTTTATTTTTTAAATAAAATAGTAATGTAGATTATTATTTTGGAATAACAAAAGTATTTTATGTATGATTTTTTTGTTAAGAAAATTATATACATAAGAAATATAAGTAATTAAATTGAGCTTTATTTATGTATAATTGGTAGATGATTGCAACTATACTCGGTCCGAGAGTATGAGGAGAATATGCAAAGTAGAAAGTCAAAGAACTATTTAAACAAAAATATATTAGAGTAAATCCGACATCCAGAAATTTGCAGGAGCACGTAATCAACGTTACCGATATATTACAAAAGATAATTAATACCGGCTATAATATTAACAAGGCAGAGAAAGTGAATGTCGTAATTATGACCATTCCCTTGTGGTATTTTCCACTTGCTAATAATATTTGAAATCGGGACTATGTGAAAATATATGATAAATCTATTTTGTATTTGCATAAAAGATCATAACGATGAATCAAGGCAAAAGTTTATGCACACTTACCGACATTCCAAATCATTTATTGTAAACGTAAAAATGCAAGGCATGCACAATATCATCCATATTAAATTTTGTGGGTAGTTGTATAATGTATTACTAGTTATGTAAAAAGTAACCTAAAATTTAATAGTTTAAGTACCCTTATTTTAGAATTTATTTTTATCATGCGTTGAATTTCACATAGAATTATAAATTTTAATAAACTTATTATTATTGTTTAGCATTTAAAAATTATAATTGTTCTAAATGAAAATATACTAATTCTTTTCGACAATGAACCACTAATTTCCCAGAGTAAATATTGTATTTGTCGAGAAAAATCTACTTAAGATATTACTTCAGTTCTGTACTTGCAATATTTATTAAATAGAGGTTGATTTTTTTCTATTAAATATTAAATTGATATCAATTTAATATGCTTGTATTATACATAATATAACATTTTAAAATAATAAATATATGTACTAATTAATGAGGATTGAGGTAAATAAATATTAAACAAAAGTTGGACTCCTAAATTTGTAACTTTAAAAATTTAGTTGAATCAGAAAACCTTTTCATCCAATGGTAGAATATTATCCTATGGCACGAACCTCTAATAGAAGACAAGCAAGAGTTGTGACAATTGATAAATATGTTGATCCGACTGAGATGACATGGTTTGGGAGGAAAAGAGAATTTGTAAATGTTAAAAATTATTCATGGATGATGCAAACCAAAGCAGATCATATTTTTTATAGGCCTCATAGCACTGGTTAGAATCTTTGGCTGACGTATAATATCTGAAGAAACAGAATGATGTAGATTATGGAAAATTAGATGTGAACTAGAAACATATAGTTGATACCATGAGATATCTATCCCCAAAAGTTTATTCTACTATTTTACATCGGTTCACAAGAGCAGAGATTGTAGAGGTGAAAAAATAATTGAAAGTTGAAATAAATATAGTGCAGAAACAACTTGATAAATATTATTCAAAACCAAATATAGAAGAATTGAAGAAGCAAATATTTCAGATTTTTTATTTAATAGTAGTGATGATGAATTCTAAAAGTATGTACCTTATTGCTTGCCACATTGTTGACTTGTTATTTGTAAATTGAGATTATGCTCTATACCTACATATATTAGGTGTATCCTGCATATCTATTATAGAATAATGACTTTTATTATTACTTTAAAAGAATAATCGATTTGTTTTCATTATTATTATGAATTTATATTAAGTTAATTCTATCCCTGAACTTATTTGCTATATTGCCCGTTCGATTTTTTTTTTTTTTTTTTTTTTTTTTTTTTTTTCCTGAACTTATTTGCTTATATTTGCTCGTTCGATTTTTTTTTTTTTTTTTTTTTTTTTTTTTTTTTTGCAGGCTTGGGCAACAAAATAATGGAACGTAGTCACCATAGACAGGTTTTTTTTTTTTTTTTTTTTTTTTTTTTTTTTGCAGCTTGGGCAACAAAATAATGGAATCTAGTCACCATAGAACAGAGTATATTAGTCTTAGACCGCAAGATACTAGCTTGGTGCATCACCAATATCATCATAAATATGAGGCTATATGGTATGAAGATGCTGATCTACAAATTTTACAGTGCAGGCATTCTGGAACTGCTCTACACCTGTCGGATGATGTAGATGTACACATAATCCCATTTTTGCAATCTAGTGGATTTTATGGAGCATCATAACTTGGTTTCATTCAACTAGATTGGCATCTGATCATTTGCTAGTATAGGTTATCTAAACATTATTTTAGCCAGAAATTCATTATCTTTCTTTAGTTTGATTGCCTCCACAATTTTGATGAACAACTCTTCGAACGTCAATCTTTAAGAAATTTTAAACATATTAGATCTACCACCATCATAGTCTTATCCAGTGAACACTACCATATGATGGGGTTGTCATTTTCTGTAAAACATGTTTTTCACGTCGAATTTAATTTTACGTGACCATCATTGCACATATTTATTATTTACTTTATTTTATATTTGGAATATTCTCAACCTCCACACAAGTTAATACTCAACCTCCATAACCTAACATAACTTTATATTTAGAATATTCTCTAACTCAGTTTATAAATAAGTTATATAGAAAGATATGCAACAAAAATAATAATAACTTTGGACACATCAAGTCATTTATAACTAACATTATCTTATTCTAAAATAATAATTAAATTAAAATGAAATTTCTATATAAAAAAATATGTACCTTAAAAACAAACTAATCCCACATATGCTGAGTCTATAAAAACAAAACTTCATATATATTCAGTTGGAAAAAGAAAACTCGTATCAAAATATTAGAAGTCAAATATTTTGTTTATAATAATTACTACTATAAATTAACAAAAAAATATACCATAAACTTACCAAAAAGCATGAATATCCAAATCTGAATTGTCACACATTTATGTGTTGAGCAGTAGCATAGTAGCAAAAATTGCAATATGTACTCTATAATTTATTTTTCTAAAAATAGCAGGACAAAGAAAGAAAATTAATAAAATCATGCACCATAGTAGAACACCATTATAAGACACTGAAGTTGTGAAATACCTATTGAACTAATAATGTAACAATTGGAAAGATAATTTATGCATGAGATTCCTTGCATGATTCCCTTTTCTGCATGATTTCCTTACACCATTTTTTATTTCCTAGGCCATTCTAAAAATCTTTGTTTCTATAGCGCTATAGTGTAACAATGTCCTTTAATAACTTTTAAATTGTTACACTTACAATGAAACAATGTGTCCTTTCATCATGGAAATCTTAATCTTATCTTGC